AGACTGGATTGAAAACTACAGAGGAACTGTAATTGGCTTGGACCATGCCATATATTATATCTCAGGTTTTTTTGGTGAAGCGTGAGAATCCAAAATAAACCCAGACATCCTGGATGATTTGTGAAGTTCTTAGCAAGACTGATCTTTAATCTGCTTTTTCTGGAGACCATGAAGAATTTCTTATTCTGATGATGAGTGGGATTATTTTATTACATTTTTTTTTCTGGATACAATGAATATGATTTATGTTCCATTAGTGCCCAGGTAAAAATCCTTTAAATTTACTCTTCAGAGACCAATATGGTTATGGAAAAGAATACTGCCTGGTGCTGTAATGGCATGGGAGATAACCTAAAACAGGTGGATGCCCCACAGCAGTGCTAATAGCAAGGCAACTAAGAATAGTAATAGTGGAGCAGCACATCTGCTGTTGACTTTGCTGTAACGTAACCTGTCTACTGCTATCTTTGAATCTACACTCATGCCAAGTTACCCTGTTAACTTAGTTTGCATCCTTCTTTTTCTACCCTTTGCTTCATGAGATAGGCTTCTTCCTGAAGTATAATTGTGGTATCAGCCTAAAGGGCTGAAACTGCATCTCAAACTGCAGTAGGCAGCATGTCTATCTGATTGATCATCATAAAGCAGAGTGGCAGCGGGAGGCAAAGTCATCGGCACTGAATGTTCTAAGAAGGCCCTTTTTGTACTGAGATTAAGCTATCATGAAATATTTATGCTCACTTCTGCATGTGCTTTATTGTCTGTTGGATATGTGCTTAGAAAGAGTTTGCTTAACCAATATAATACTGCCATCAGTGTTATGATGCAGAAGCTAGTGAGTTTATGCCAACAGTTAATTTCTGTTCTTAAATAAAGCTTTTTACACTTATGCCTTGTCATTATCTTTGTGTGCATTATTTCTATACAACCGTATCATTTATATTTACATGATCTGGCTGTACTTATTGCATGAAGGTTTTTTTGATGCAATACAATTTACTTTGAAACACTCAGTACATAAAATAAAGGAGTAATAATGATATTATTTGGGACTTTTCCAATTGATTCATCTTTCCAGTGAAATGTAAAAGAAGTCCTCTGCTACAAATTAGTATAAATGGAAGAAAAACGTCCTAAAATACAGGTAGCTGAACACTTTCCTCAAACCTTTGTCAAGCCGAGAGCACAACCTGCTTAATTTGCCATAGCAAACACTGGCCACCACAGAAACTGCAGAATGTCTAATTTTGCAATAAGTATTTTGTACTTCGAGTTCGAAGTAAGGTCAAAGAAATTAACACTAGAATACCACTTAATCTAGGACATTAATCACTGTTAACTCATCTGATTTTACAATTAAACTGAATATTCAATTTGTCAAGCCTCCAGAGTATCCAATCTTTTTGTTCAATCTTAGCATTTTTTTGCTTTTATTTAGAGAAAAGTTTATTATCAGGAAGCATGTCACTGAACTGTTAATGTAATCAATTCTATTTTATTTTCAAACCATTCTTATGCTTTACTTTACAAAGTACAAAATTAGATATGATTAGATAATTATTATAGTTTGGTTAGATTGTATGCAATTTGCAGTGCTATCAGGAATGTGAAACAATGTTGTTCTGCAAAACATTATCTTGGGATCTAAAAACAAGCTGGAAACATGGCAAATAAGACCAAAGAATGGCACTTGCTGTATTGCTGGTTCCATTTTGGCTGATATTAATAGCAGTTGAATAATTATCTCTGGGATACGCAGCAAACGACTGCAAGTGAATGAATGTGCGGTCTAACAAAATTTACATCTACAGAAATTCCTGTGCTAAGGCTGATACTGTATATGACACCAGCTTGAATGTCCAGAGCATGGAAGCATGACATAGCCAGGACCCCAGTATACCTTGCTGTACCTAACAGAGTGTTCTTTCTTATCAGCAACAAAATGAGATAGCCAGGTAACATGAGGTCTGGCCACTGATGTCCTCCAGGATATAAAGAAATCCACTGCCTTGAGCTGAAGCTTCATCAAATGTAAACTACACAGAGAAAAGTTTTCTTCTAAACTGGCAGCACCTCCCAGCATGCAGCCTGGCATTCCAGGCTGAGGCTAATGATTCCACAGTTTGCAGAGGACTAACTGATGAAGAAAAAGGTAAAGATTTTTCTCATGGATATGATAAAGCCTATAATGAGTATACTTTTCACAAAACCAGAATACAACCAGCATACAACTGGACAGCAACTGAAATAAATGAATGACACCGTATGTACTGAAATGCCTATTAAACTTGCAGGTAATCATAATTTCAAGAAGTTTGTGACCACATCTTATCTTAAATGACAGTTCCTGAACATGGAAATGTACAACAGACTCGAGTACCTGAAGTTCCAGCAGAACAAGTCTTCCTCATGTTTGAAAATTAAAAGGGCTATTTGTAAACATCAAAGGTTGAAATCAACTCTATGAAAATACGAAGAGTAAGTAAGAATTGTTTCTACTTTGCTCCAGAAGGTTATAGAAGGATGCAAAGTTTAAAATACTATATTTTTAAGTAAGTGTATAACTTGTTCAGGTTAGGGGAGACAAGCCTTACACATTCGTACTTTTCACCAGGAAAGCCATAGTATCTTTTGAGGGAAGTTGCCAGTCTTCTTTCTACCATCTGTATATTTTATGAGTGGTATCAAGGCTGACAGATGAATATTTATGTTGGCAAATCCAATAAACTTCAGTAAAACAATAAACTTCAACAAAAAGCTCACATGAATTCTGCAGTTGGGTTAGGTTTAGCAATTATTAATAACCTATTATGTTTAAGAAATGCTGTTTTTAGTTCAAGAAATGTTAAATACAGGAAGAGATCCAGTATCTGAGACTGTCAGCTGGCTCACTACTGCAAATTACTATTCTAAAAAGTTCAGACATCATTAAAGGTGAGAATAATACAACACAGTCATGTTCCTTTCCCCTTCTTTCCCCCCTGTCCTCTGTATTAAATTGGAAGTCAGCGAATGGTATGACCTCACAGGCAATCTACTTTCCTCTTCTGCCAATGCAGATTCATTCTCTATGATACTACCCATTTCTGAGAGTGTTTCAAAGCCTGTCTTTAAAATATTCTGATGGTTTTTCCTTTGTTAATTTGATATATTATTTTACAGTCTAACAGCTCCCTGGTAGTAAGGTTTTGTGATAGTCAGCCTGAAGCTCTCTCTCATAATTCATTCTCTTAACTGTAAATTTCTTTATTCAGATTCAGTTCTATTTATGCCACACCAGACTGCACCGTTCTTCTGTTATTATAATGTTATGTTTTGAGCTAAAGTATCTATTTTTTCAATTATTTCTCTTACTGAAAGGCAAAATTTCATACTGAAGTGAATACCTACAGTACAACTTATTTTTGCCTCAAAATACCTGTCTGCAAATTTCTGAGCTTTATCTTATTTTCTCTGTGTTTTTGTAAGCCTTCAAAAAAAGAGAAGTCTTTTTGTTTTCCTTGATATTTACACTGCCTAATTATTCATTTCTACCCCTGAAGATTATTAGAGATTCTGCCTTTCTCTGCCACTCTAGTGAAGATACCAAGAAAATACACAACTCTACACTATGCAAAAAATATACTGTAATAGGACAATCTGTCCTCTTCATACTTCTAATAGCTTGAGTTTACTTGGCTTATTTTTTCTTCTCCCTGTAACACACTGCTATCAAGACTATTTCAATAAATTTTGTAAAATTACATTTATCTTTCTAATATATGTTATTTATAAACTACTACTTAGTCTCAGTTCAACTCTACTCTTGAGAGTATACTATGTCACAGCGTTTTTACATTTTACTGTAACATCAAATTAGGCTTTAATGTTAAGTATTGCAGTTATGGCCTGACATTTATAGAGTCACCTTTTCCCTCCTGCTCTACATTTTCTATTGAGTTGTTAAATGTAATTCACAATTACATTTGGAAATTCACACCTATAAATGAAACTGGTTTGGGTTGTTTTTTTTTTTTTCATTTAAGGCAAAGCCAATCTTATTCTAAATCATTGCAAAAAGAAAAAAAAAAAAAAAAGAAAAAAGTGTCATTTTTCTGTCACTGCAACTGCACATATGGCTTTCTAGTTCTTTAAGGAATGATTAAAATGAATCAAATGTCTAGAATTCCAGATGAAGAAGGCAAATTTCTTCCTTAAAACCAGTGTCAATTCACAGTTACTCTTGGTTCACCCAAGTTGCATGCTCTGTGCTGACTGAGACTGACCACTGCAACCATGACTGGTCTGGATGCAATGCTGAGCACACATGCAGACAAGGCCACATCCAAAGTTGCACATATCCCAGTAAGTCCCCCTGGAAAAGGGGCACAAAATACACAACCAGCCGAATGGACCTGAGCCAGCTTAATGCAAGGACTACCTGGGCTGACTCAGCATCAGACACTGCTTAACTTTTAACATGCACCATCATACTTATATCACCAGTATTCAAAACCCCATTCTTGCAGTAAAGTTCACTGATACCAAACTGGTGATAAAATTAAATAAAGGAATCATTCAGTGCTACTAATTTTTTCCTTTCCCCCTTCTTTGTGTCCTATTATCCCATTTCTTCTTATAGGAAAACCACAGGTAGAATAGGTACTCCATTAAGTACTTCAGCACTGCACTGGGAGTCTGTTAAGTTCTCCTATTTTATAGAATCAGAGTGGTTTGGGCTGGAAGGGACCTTAAAGATCATACAGTTCCAACCCTCCTGACATAGGCAAGGGCATATGTGTATCTGAATGGACTTTATCTGCACTGGGAATGCCACTGTCACTAATGAAACAGTGGGGTGTCATTTACTGTAATGCTGCAAATTGAGTAAGTTCTAAGAGAAAAGAAGTACTTCTTTTTAGCCCCATTCCTCTATTCCTAAATTTAAGGAAAAGAAAGTCCTAATATAATGAAGTAAAAATAGAAGGAATTAAATTAAATAATGCTTTGCAAACACTTACAGTCCGTAAATCTGTGGAGCAATTTCCAGTCGGTTCAGATGCATGTACAGCTCAATATCATGTTTCTTCAGAAGATGATCCTGAATTTGGTTTACTTTTGCTACAATAGCAATAGATGGGCCTAAGTCCTGTGGCCTTGCAAATGGTGTAGGTGTAATCATCACATCTTTCTCCTGCCGACACAGAAAATGAGAAAAATAGAGAACATCCCATGAAGTCTTATTGCCTAAAAGGGATTGTCTACAGGAGATTTCTTTTGTTGTCATCACTGGCTTCCAAATAAACATATTAATAACTTGTTTCTTTTCCAGAAAAAGAAGAATCTCAAATATCCACTTCTGTGGAAGGTATTGTGGGATTCCCCTTCCCAGGTGTGCCAAGGTTCATTCTCTCATTCTGCACATCAATTATTTATGCACATGCTTTACTTTTCATGCTCTGACAAAATGTTGACAGCTTTATTTTAGCTTTAATATCAGCAGTCTGAGTCTGTCCAGAGCAAAGTAAATGAATGGTAACTTAGTAGAGAATATATGCCCACAGAGGACAATAAATTGCATACCAAATAGGAAATAACTTATTTTCAGACGAGGCTTTCTAAACAGGCTTCCCTTTATCAGAAAATCTGTTGGCTGTACCTCAAAATCTAAACAACTTTGATAATGGATCAGAAAACTTACAAAACAAAACCAAAATAGAAGAGTGAGATCAACCCAAGGATTAGAAGGTAGACGGCTGGACCTAAAGGTTGTGTGTAAACTATGTCATGATCTAGAATATGACACAGACCAAATGACAACAGAGAAAGAAAACCACTGGAGTATTAGCACCCTTGAACCTGATATTGCTTTATTTTTATTTTTTTTGCAAAAGAGTGAAGCATTACTGAAGAAGAGACAGAATGCTAGAAAGGAATTCAGGATGTAATGAACCACACTGAACAGGAAACGTGAAAAGGAGAATTAGAAATAAAAAGGGAGCAAGTCAAACCAATTAAGAGAAAGACTGGTGTCGTGGTTCAAGCCCAGCCGGCAACTTGGAACCACGCAGCCGCTCGCTCACTCCCCTCCTTTTTAATTCCTCCCCCCGCTCCCGGAGGGATGAGGAGGAGAATCGGAGGAATGTAACTCCCACGAGTTGAGATAACAGCTCTCCAGTAACTAAGGTATAATACAAACCACTACTGCTACCAATAATAATGATAAGAGGAATAACAAGGGGAGAGGACACAACCGCTCACCACCCGCCGACCGATACCCAGCCCGACCCGAGCAGCGATCTGGGCCTTCCGGGTAACTCCCCCCAGTTTCTATACTGGGCATGACGTGCTGTGGTATGGAATACCCCTTTGGCCAGTTTGGGTCAGGTGTCCTGTCTCTGCTTCCTCCTGGCTTCCCCTCCTCTCTGGCAGAGCATGAGACTGAGAAAGTCCTTGGTCAGAGTAAACATTACTTAGCAACAACTAAAAACATCGGTGTTATCAGCGTTGTTCCCAGACTGAAAGTCAAAAACACAGCACTGCACCAGCTACTAAGAAGGAGAAAAAATGACTGCTGTAGCTGAACCCAGGACAACTGGGGAAAGGGAAATGGAGAATTAAACTGTCAGGAACAATGTTAAAGTTATAAAAGAGGGAAAATTGAAACAGTAAGATTTGGCAATGATTTTATTGCAGTCTGTCATCATGGCTATCTGACCTGAAAGCTTCACTTTGAAAAAGAGTTATTGGTTTTCTACACTTTTGCTAAGTTTATTGATAGAGAAGCATTATCAAGGTCAATGGGTTAAGAATTTCAGAAGACTTCATTACAGTTTAAACTCTTGAAAGACAAAATCACTTGGTTCAATACGGTGAAAAGCACATTATTTTTAACATTCAATAACAAAGAAAGGTGGGTATTTTTTTTTGTTGTAGAAACTATCCCCAAGGTTGTTTCCTATAGTTATACTCCCTCTTCAACACCATTCTTTCTGTATTAGCATTTTAAGAGGAAGGAAGAGAAGTACTCATATTTCACAACCATTTACAACATGGTTTAAGTGAGCAGTGAACATTTAATAATTTCTACCAAAAAGCTTATTTTTTATGTTGATCTCCTCTGCTTGGAATATTTTTTTCTTAATTATTCCATTTCTGTACCATAGAAAATATGGTATGATGCTGAGCAGTTATTTCAGGTAAAATGATTCTATTTAAGGATATGATTGATTATAAATTGTATCTTAAAATCTGCTTAATTGTTGCTTTGTTGTGGCAATTGCAGCAAAGGGACTGATCTGTCTATTACAGTGCGATGGTTTTGCCATGCTGTTGTGGTACCAAGACATATTCATTTAAGATGCCCTAGCAAATTGCTTGACAAAAGCTCTCTCAGAATGTCAAATGAAACTCACTGAAATGGTGTCCTCTCATTCAAAATCTTTTCTGCTCTACCAAACAGAAATTTAAAACAAAACATCTAGCATCTTAGGGGCTAATAAGAAATGTTGTTACTCCCTTAAATACTAAAGTTCTCCACAGCTGCTGGTATGTTCAGAAAGGATGTTTCTCCTATCTCTTTTTTAAACTATTCTATCAACTTCTTTATTACCAAATTGGACAGCTTGCTTTCTACCCTGATTTTTGCTCCTCCATTGCATGGCTATTACCTACCGCTGTTTCAGACCCATTTCATTATTTTCTTGGTCAAATGCTAGAATGCAGAGTAGTGAAAAAGGGTATCCACTGATCTTCTTCTCATCTATACAGAAAAACACTCAAAGTACGATATGATAGCATTGCCTTAACACTAAATGCCAGTCTACAGTAATCATCTGCATAAACATATCAAGTTTTCTTTGAAACTAATAATAAAAGTCTGTAACTCTACATATTCATAGACTATGCATGTTCCATCAGTGGTACACATATGGGATATGAACTTTATTCTGGTTTATTCAAGCTGACTTTTAACTTCAGCGTAACCACTGCATGCACTCGTAACTGATGACTCAAAAGATCTCCATTTTAAGCTTTTCTCTCTACACACAGACTCTCACATAGAAATCTCAACATTAGAATCTATCTGCTTGTAATGTCTATCTACTTATTTGTAGTATGAGAAGACTAGACAGTTACTCAAATTAGCCTTTACATCATTAGTTGTCTGTGGGTTTAAAGCCATCTTTACAAACTTAGAAGGCAGACTTTCAAACATTGGCTCAAGTGTCAAAAGATTCTGAATATCAAAACTAATGCAAGCTTCCTCTTACAAAGGAGTGCCAAAACTGGAGTTATTTATCACTTGCAAGCATTTGTGCACCTTGGCATAATGCAGCACTGACACATTGCTGACTGTCAGACTGACTGACTATCAACATGGCTAAATGCATCAAATAATATATACTGGATTGCCACTTTTTAAAAGGGTAAGTAAATGGTACCCATCAAAATGCAGTTCATCAGCATCTCAGAAATTAACCCATTAACAGAAATCTTCAAAGCATGTCATAATCTGTGGGGACAGCAGCTGCAATCAGTAATCAATGCCATCAGTGTCCATGCCTCCTGATTTGGTGCGCTCCACCAAGAAGCTTAGAGGATGACTAGAGTGCATATGATATGTCTGTTGTCTCCTCTCACACAATTTGGTTGAGAAAATGATAGATAATACATTTAGTCAGCTGAAATTGCTCCAAAAAATCACATCAGCTGGTGTGAAAGAAACAGCCCAAACAGAAAGATGCTCAAATAAACTGACACAACCAAGCCGCCAAAATATTTAACTAGAAATGACTCACAGTGCCTGTGCCTAAAGCACACAAGCCAAGTGGACAACCTGATACTGTGCCCCTGCCCATTCTCACTATATATTAGGTTGCCACAGGAGTCAAAACACCTGTTTTATTTTTGTGAACTTCCAAGTCTTGGAAAAAAAAAAAATGTGAGTGCATGTGTATAGTCACCTACCGCTAACAAAAAATATAAATGATCAATCCCAAAGGGATGCGGTTAAACAATAAAAAGACAAAAAGCGGGATGTCTCAGAAATGTGCTATTCTGTTTACAGGACAGCACTGGATTCACCTCTAAGAACAATTTCAATATGGATAGCAGTGAAATGCAGATGAAAAATTTAGATCGAGTATTATGAACAGAGTCATCAAATTGTGCACAAAACATTACCTACCACAACATGAACTGGAATGGCTGGCAGTCGATACTAATACAATTTGTATATTCATGCATTTAGGAAACAAATGCTACAGCAGTAATGAGAGGCTAGGACATAGCACACATATAAACCATGGACAGATTTCTCTCATTAACCACTAGGGAATGGAGTAGCTGGAGAAGCTCCTCTAATGGCAATTGGGAGTAATGGAGCCAACTGTTAGAGGCTATAAAATGTAACATGTCTCTCAGAGCACATGCTTTCATTGCTTCCTTTGTGAAGATTCAGACTTTATTACGTAGCTAACCCTCAAAGTCATGATTGTAAAATGCATATGTACAAGAAAGGATTATTAAAGATTATACATGTTTGCAAAGAACAAGAACAAACAACTAGATATTAATCCATGCACTTTGCATTGTTAATTTTTTATGCCACAAAAGGACTGGAAAGGGCAATATAAACTTTCACCTTCTACCAAAGCACTGCAAATCTGTAAGCAGTTATTTCCCAGAGCAGAACTCCACCTCAGACTTTACCACCTCTGCCACAGGAATTAGAACAAATACATTTGAACACACTGAATTCTGAAGCGCTACATTCAGAGAAACGTGTCTCACAGCTTTGTTGTTGGAATAAAAGTGACTATGTAGTAAGTTCTAAAATTCGCATCTCATACGCTTCATCCTTAGTTACTGAGAATTATGTAAAAACCCAAACCCAAATAATAATTTTTACCTGTAGATAGCTTAGGCCAAGATGCCAATGCTCCATGTCTAATAAAATATATACACAAATACATTTAAACATTTAAAGAATATAGAAGCCTTTGTGTGTGTATCTTGGGTGAATATCTTTTTCTTCAACAGACAGGCAAAACCACCTCTCAAACTAGTACTCCCTAATTACAGTGTGCAAACACAGGTTTTGGGGCACACATGTGAACATCCAAACCCAACCAGATTCTTACTAATTTTTTTGTTAACTATAGATATTCACTCTATGGTCTATGTGAAAAACCCTGAAGTGAGTCAAGCTGGACCCAAGTTTGGAGGATAACTCTTTTAAGATAAAATACACTGAAAGTCTGGGCAATACCTGTAATATGGCTGTGTTCTGCTAGAGCCTTCTACATCCCCTCCACCACACAAGTGATTTTTCAGAATTAAAAAAAGAGATAGATGTAAGCATGGAAAGAGACAGAAAAAAAGTATTCAAAGGAAATCTTGAGCAATTGACGTGAGGGAATTGTCCCTCATGCCATGCATAAAAAACAGTTACAGGTAAGGAGTAGATGGTCCCTAGAAGGTCCCTGCAAGGAACAGTTCTGTAGAACTAAGAACACAGAAAAGCTTTTATTTGAAAAGCAGCAACATACTAAATACAGTGATGTCTGTACAGCTGCACTGGAGGTCTGAGGGCAAAAACATTCCCTCTGTTTGAATAACCTGAGGTCAAGGAAAAAAAAAGTAAGGAAATGTAGCGATGAAGTCAAGGAAAGAAAAAAAAAGATGCACCCTGACCTTTGATTGACAGTATATGATTAAAGTTTTGGTTTTACAGCAAATAATTGGTTATATTGTAAAGAGTTGAAAACAATTCAATCCCCCATAGGTTAAATGCTGCCTATACGTATTTATTTAATATGGCATTTTCACAGGTTTGAGACATGCAGATGTGCCTATGATAGGCATTCTTTCAAATGCTACACACGAACATCACCCATACATAGAAGAATCTGTGTTTATACATTCAGCATTTTGATTACCAAGTGATCTTTCAACAGATAGGAACTCCCAACTGAGAGACTTCCCACAAATGCTTATGAACAAATTCTGAAGAATCTCTAAAGGATGTAAACTTATTTGAGCCTGCTTTAACCAAGTCTTTTACGAGAAGATGCCTTTTAGCTTCAAATTACTTCAATCATATTAAAAATCACATTTGCTTAAAAATACAATAAATACATTTCAGAGCTATATTTACCTTCTGACTGTCATGTTCAAAAGTTGAAAACCAATGTTCTGCAGTTTTCATAAGACGTGTGAACATTGCACTGAAGAGGAAAAAACCAGAAACTCGGTGTTAAATAATGTATTATAAGTAAGAGCAAATAAAATGTAAAGGAAGTTGCTAAAACTTACTAGGCATCGTGTTCCAGATATTCAGGATTCAAAAGAACTTTCATTTCCTCGCTGAAAAAGGCAACAGTGAACAATCCAAATGTGAATGTTTATTTTTGGTCAGCATTCTGCATGTACTATTATGTATTTAGAAGCCAACTTTCATATAAAGTGCAAATGAGAAAACTAGCCTTTTTAATTAAAAGGAGCAACTCCATTGAACAAATGAAGTCTTTCCTTTTTATAAAGATCAAAAACAAATTAGCTGCCTTGTCTGCACTACAATGAAGTAACCATCTAATTATTCCAAATAACAAATTACTGAATGTCACAATGTATTATTTGAATATGCTTGATCTAGAATAATTGATTGCTGCACAATCTATCACTGTTTGTCCCAAACAAAAAAAATACGGTTACTGGTCAAATACGCGGTATCAAAACATTAATTTATTTTGTTTTAATAGCCTGTATTTTTATTGTACTTTAACAGCAATTAATCAGTGACAGCACCTCTTTTCCATCTACTTTGCTGCTTGGCTCTACTTTTTCAGTGGGGATGGAACAGAATGCTATGCATAACACATGGTTATTTTAAGGTACTCAGCACTGAAAAGCATCTTCTAGGTAATTTCAGGATATCTAATGACAGACATTGAATAAAAACACACACTTGTAAATAATCTCCATCCTTATGCTTAACTGCGTTTGGACAACCAAGTTGAGGGGTACTAACAGAGGTTATATTTTATAGTACACATAATTAAATTGGCTTTTATTCACTGCTGGACTTGAAAAGAGAGTGCAAAAAGGCAAATGAAATGTCCTAAATATCACAAGTGATACAAGAAGGCAGCTAGTTTATTTTTTTTTCCTAAAAAAAAACCAACCCCAAACTTTACATATAGGGCAAGAAAAAAAGCATCTGTATTTTCTGATGGACAATCATGCGTGATGTAATATTTTACATATTTTATACATATGTGTATAATTACACCTGTACACACACACATGAAGTTTGAGTGGAATAGGGAATCAATAGCTAAACTTACTGTTACTACAAAGTCAAAGGATAGTCAGATATTGCAGCTATAACATTGAAGGTGATGAAAGAAATACCAATCACAATAATTCATAATAAAAAAATATGTCTACATTAATTTTTTTCTCTTTTAAGGTATAAGGAAAGAGAGCTGGTGACATGTCTGTTCTATGTAGTTCTCTAATCTGCCTCCCCTCTGCAATGACAAAACCTACACCATTTCTGGCAGTAAGAATGAGGTGAAACAGTAGGTAGGTATGTAAGCTTTTTGATTAAGGTTCTTCTTAGGTTTCTTGTCTCCCCTTTTTTTACCTTCTGGTACCTGTGAAGTGGCCAGTGTCTCCACTTTTAATCCCCATTTCAGAAGACGTAGTATGGAAGATGAAATAAGGGCATTTCCATCAAAACAAGAAAATGCAACTATTTTTTATATCGGTTTATCAATTGCAAACAAAGAATTAAGAAATGCATGTTTAAAAGTTCAAGTCCAGCCAACTTATTTATTTATTAATTTTAAAGAAAGCCGATTTTCAATGCTATACAAATAAAACACAATGCTTGCCTTGGTTGTGCAGCTTCACTGGCATGTGAAAATGCCTGGTGGTCACAATGCAGAATAAAGACAATGGGAGCTAAAAGTTCATGCATACCCTAAACATGAAAGGAAGCAAAAGTTTAGTAACATTTTCCAGTCATATAACAGTTCCTAATGCACAGCATCAGGCAGCCAGCAATATTAGATGCAGACTAAGTAAAAGCGAGATTTATATTCTTAACAGAACGGTTTCATAATCAATGGCTTTTATCTTAAAGTTTGATTAAATCAAAGTGTTTATTCTTCTATAATATACAGCAGCAAGTTATTCTCCCTTTTCTAACACAACAGAAAACCAATTGGCAATGGTAGGCAACCCTGCACCTGGCAGTTTACTCCAAGATCTATGTTCATAAATATGAATTTTATTTATGATAATTACAATCATGATCCACAGTACAAAGATCTGCAATAGGGACAAATTACAAAATTTAAAATTATTTTTTATTTGATAATGTTCCAAAACCATAGATAAAAGCGTAACAGTAGCCTTCAGAAGAGACAAGGGCAGCTATTTGGGAAATTAGAAAATGAAACTTCCATTCCTATGGACATGAGAAAGAAAATACGTGTCTGGTTTTTTTTTTCAGTTGCTATGTCAGTATTAAAAATAAACTCATTATAATATAATGCATAGGAGACCTGGTACTGTTCCATTACTAATATATGCAATCTATATGAAGATACAGAAAAAATATAGAAACATGCAGGAATCAGAACAGAAAAAAATGGTGGATATTTGAGGACTCGGGCCAGCATTAGAAGTATGGCTGTGCCTCCCAGGCCAGCCATTACTGCTTTTATCCGGAGCTCACCAGGAACAAAAAAGGAGTCTTGATTTGCTTTCGTTCACTCGGGGCTTGTCAATTTGTTATCAGGAGCAGAAGCAACCGCTTCAGGAAACAAGCAATCCAGTTGGCAAGCAGCAACACACTGGCAGGTAAAACAACAGCCTGCACAATGAAACCTTGTCTTCAGCAGATATTCAGCCCCTTCCCTCAAATTATATCAGGGAAAAGGAGGATTTGATCATAACTGGGGAATTTGGTTATGTCAGGGGAGTTTGGCTTTTGGTGGTGGATTAGGACAGCTACAGGTTGGGCTGGGGGGTCAGCCATACAGAAGTAGTGAGGAGAGTCCTTCAGTGATGGATGGGATGCAGTATATGAAGGGTTAAGACCTGTTTGGTGGCCTCTGGACACAGGATTATTCCAAAGGGAGAGAACTCCTGACCTCAGCCCAAAACTACCAACTAGAGCTGCGGCTTGGTGCCAGGCACCCAGTTTACTCCTGCTGGGTGTCATTCTGGATGGCATTCTTGCCCAGCTGTGCTCCAGTTCAAAGCTGCAGCTCCTTCACTAAGTGGAACCTCAGTCTGAGCTCCAGGTGAGTGCTCTGGGCAGACAGCAGTGCCAGGAAGATCATCTTGTTTACCCTACTGGCAGAAAGAGCACTGGGGCTGCTGGCCCATCAAACTCATAGGGATTTCAGGTTGCTGTTGGGAGTCAGATAATGGGTGCTTTTTATGCTTGTACTTCAAAGCTAGGAAGCCTCTCCACTTGCTTTTCCAGCCCTTTCAGTGATGGACAGATAGGAGCAACGAAAGAGGCACACGCTTGTGCAGCTACCCTGCTGCTTTGCTGGTATATCATTTGATATCCCATGCAGCAGTTGAGGAGTATTCAGGATCAGTGAGTTAGTTTATCAGCTTCATATGTATCAAACAGATCTATTAACTACTAACCCCCTGCAAATTTTATTGGAAATAATAGGGATTTTCCTTAAGTGGTCCAAACCGAGCAGAGAGGTGGATGTGGAAGCCCTGTCTAAATCATTATCTATTAGAATGTGCAGCTAATTCCAAATTAGTGAATCTTATCTGTTCATAAGAGAAAATTCCAATACCTAGCAGTGTTGAAGGGGGAAAAAAGAAAAAAAAAGAAAAAAAAGAAAGAGGTTTGGAAATTTCTCTGTGTGCTAACACTTGAAATCCTAGGAAATCTAATTTTAGATTCTTCAGGACTGAGATGACTGTTAAAGCCTCAACTATAAGGTTGCAGCAACAGCAGTCAGGTGACTGGGCAAAGCTAAAGACAGCAAAACTACAGAAGTTTGGATGTTTTCTTTCTCTTCCTGTTTTTGAACCTTTAGGGACTACTTAAGAAAGATGAAGGCTAAATAGAAATCCGATTAGGAAAAAACCCAGTGTAGCTACTTCATTTCAGGAGCTGATGTAGAATTCCCAAACACAACAATATTGGTTAGGTTGCAAACTGCCAACTTTAGATTTCTGAAATTCTTGTGGTCATACCAACAGGGAAAGGAATAGTATAGACAGGGAGATAGGTCCAGGATTAGAAGATAAAGGTAAGTGGCAAAAACATTTAAATAAACTGTAGATAACCCAGGTTGTACTTTCCTACAGACTCACAGTCCTCAGTTAATTAACAGCTCCATGTCTAATCTTTTATTCACCCTGATATACTAACATGAAATAAGAGAAATGGAAATGCCAAAAACTTGACTGTCTAATAAAACTACCACCTAAGCTGTAAACTTATAAGCTGAAGAAAGAGGACATAAAATAAGAATTAGTTATAAAAGATAAAAGCACATCATACATTCTTCCAACATAATAATATATCAACATTGTAATGAAGTAGAATCATAATGTGGCTGCCCACATACAACGAAAACAAAACAAACAGATGATGAAATATCAGGATTTCAAAAAGATACCTCTGATCTTTCAGTTACAATAGTACTTCAAATGTTTAGAGATTTTTAGCTTGGCAAGAAAAGCTACCAGTGTAATACGCGTACACTTACTCTTTCAGTGCTGCAGTTTAATAAAACTCTTTAGTGTTAATAAATAAGTTGACAGAGCTCAGATAATTTTATGACACTTCCCAGCTACAACAAAATATTGATTTCATAATAGTCTATGGTTTATAAAGAAAACCAGAAATATAGCATTTCTACAATGAAAAGTGAAGCGATGCATTTCAAAATTATATTGACATCTCTAAGGGCAATCAAATCATGAGTGAACAATAGTTAGCCTAGTGATTTAGCTTAGTTGTCACTATTTCTTTTGAGTATAACTAGGACCAGAATTTTGGCACCAGTCTTAGACAAAATGCTAAAAGTAATTTTTACATATTCTTAAGTACAATATACTATTCTCTTTGGATTTTATATTTACAGCTACTATTTAAAAATTCAACAATCCCTGTGAGGATTCTGTCTTTAAAATCTCTAATATAACTTCACAACATTCTACTCCATTTGACTAGGGACAGAAATATCTTTTTCCTCATCAAATAAAATATTACTTCATGCTGGTCAAGAAAACACAAACCCTACTACAAAGACAACTTCATGCATATATGCATATTAAACAAACATTATTGATTGCTGCTTGTAAGACTATATGGCTGATGCTATGTAATAATTTTAATGAAATGTTGTAAACTGCAGATGTACTTTATTTACATTTATAAGTATGCAAATTGTCAAGGAACTACAACTTTTTCCAAATACTCTGAAAGGGAAATATCAGGTCCTGTACAGATGCTGAGAGACTAAAGTTTTTGTTAAGTGGCTAAGTGTTATAATTCTAATATCAAATGTAGCTCTTGCATGTGATCATACACATGAGACAGAGGAATTCTCATAGAGAACAACAGGACTAGTCTCATGATGGATACTGAATACGAAGACAAATTCCTTAATTTAGACTTTGTATTCAGGTCAATGTGGAGAGAGCAGCTTGGAGGTGATCTGTTATCGATGAATTAATGGTAACCCTCATTATTTTCAAGAAAATCTGCTGGACTTTTATGTAGTGGAAATTATTATGGGAAATGGGGCTTGAGCCAATGGTAAAACCAGAACCAATAAAAACAGTAGTACAAGAAGACTGATTGCAAGAGAGGTAATTGCCAAAAGAAGGAAAAAACCCATCTCCTGTCACCATCACAAACTCCCATTTCCTATTAGCCAATTCAGAGAAGGGTACTGACGAATACGAAAGAAACATTACATGAAAAGAGAGGGACGTGGTGACAAAAAAGCAGGATTGTTACTAAGAAGCTAAGAGGAGCATTAATTAACAAAACAAACGAACAAACACTTTTAAAAGCAGGTAAGAAAAAATAAAAGCTCCTAATAAAAGTGACACATGCCCACAACAAGAGAGGAAAACCACAGTGATTTTTCATTTTGTGGACTTGGCACAGCACCACAAGACTTTGGGTGATATAATGAACACACTTCAGAGAGATTAAATCAACAGTCTTTCATGATCCAGATTTATTTCATTTTCTGCACTTAACCTTTCCCCTTACTCTTACGGCAACCACTTCCTGGAATTACTGCACTACTCATGAACACCAGTTGAAAACAGAGGTAAAGAAGTTTTCTTTGTCAACAGCCTGTAGGCTTGCAAAATTGAACCTGTTCTTTTATCTGCCTATGTTCATTTAGCCCACCAAGCAGTCTTTATTAAAGCTGAGGCATCAGGCAGTCAAAGTTCATTAATACCATTTATATAATCTCTGCAGTTTCAATTAACTCAGCAAGACATTCTACTACATGATAACAGTCTCATTAATTCAATAAAATCCCATAACTATTAACAATATGGTCTATGTTAAACGGGGTGTCACCTAGTAGAAAATAACAGCTTTAACAGCTTGTGATGAAACACAGGGCTTTTTTTTTTTTTTTGAATTTGATCTGGTTAAATATCCTATTCTTATGCAGAAAGGTATTATTTCTTGGTAAGGAATCAAGAGGATTTTAAATATGACCAGAGGGTAATTAAGTCCTTTTAAGTCATATCAAAGAGTAAAATAATACTTCTTATTCAATAAATGATAGACTACATTAGCTGGAATGTGTTCTTCCATTTTCCCATCATCAGTACTCCGGACTATATTCACCAGAAAGGGAAGACTGAATACTGCTGAAGTGTCTTCTTTAGCAGTGCCAGTGCCCTTTAAAATACAACTCGCAAATCTCATTCTTGTTCTCATCCAAGACTATTGCTTGCTCATAGTCTATCAAAAATAAGAAATAACCAGCTGACAGAGATTTCATATGTTTGATAACTATATATTTGATTTTTGATATAAGCTGTAAGATAGTTCTTCAACAGTTCTTCAAAAGTAACTGTTCCTTCAACTCATACGCATCTTTCTTTTTTCTCACAAAACACCACTAATTTCCTGCTTGAGGACAGAGTGGTCACAGACCACGCCTGAAAGCATACAATGTCTTCTAAAATTCTTCACGTACTGAACCTCTGTATTTTTGTCATGAAAAATTTGTCTACCTAAAATTTGCTGCTCTACAGTTTATCACTTGTCAGTGCACACAGAGTATCCCTCAGTTTGTTAGTGTTTACTCACCCTACAGATAGTAGCCTGAAGAAACAAATACAAATATACTTATGTATACTCTGCATATTGGCCTTGCTATATTAATTTAGTATCAAGCTTATCCTGACTTCAAAACCTTCAGAACAAATGTTGAATTAAATTATCCTGCATCCCATATGGATGCACAGTTACTGCAGCTTGAAGGTTTTCTTTACCTTTTTATCAAAAATGGTTCAAGCAGGCTCTCCTTCAGTAACGCTGTAAAAGTGGTATTTGTAGCACCCTTATCCTTCAGTCAAGAGGAATTTGTCAGCTGCATTGTATTTGGATGCTACAGTGTTAGATAAAAGATCTACTCACTGCACGGCTTTAGGACTTTAAGGAATAACTCAAATATGTAAAAGTTAAAATAGTAATGCCTAAATTTCAGAAGTCACTATTATTTTTTGTTTATTCAGTACCATTTTTAATCCTGCTGCATACTTTCTTTCTTTGTCTAAGCAGAGAAAGCCTTTCTTCTTAACCTACACTGAAGAAAAAGATGCTGTTTATAAACAAATTTGAAGTTAGACAACTTAGCAACCTTAAAAAAAAACAATTTGAGGGACTGTGTTATGAGGAAAAACCATATGTTATTCAATGAGCTTACTTTTCTTACTATCCAGCTGACAAGCAGCTCTTTGATTACTTTAGCATTATGATACAACTTCAGATACAACGTAACTACATTATTGTCAAACCGTATAGAAAATGTTGAGTCAATGAATGCCACCTGTACAGTATTTTCATTACCTGCTTATAAAGCAACTGTTCATTTTCTCTGGCGTAGCAGAACAGAACATCTGTAAGAATTTTCCTCACATTCTCTTGCTGGAAATACTGCATTTCAGGAAAGCTGAAAATGAAGAAACACAGCGAAAATAAACAATATAGTGCACAGAATCTGTCGGTGGTCTTCTAGAAATGGTTTTAGGTAAGACAGCACCTTCCCTTGTCTGTGTTCGCACTGCTCTGTGAACTGTGGATGCTGCTGGAGCAAGAATACTTCAAAAGAAGTATTAGATTTGTTTTGCAGCCAAAATTCTGAACCACATTCTTTAATATACATCAGTACACCATCTAGAGAGGATGATGGTATCACCAGTTATATTTAAATAAGCAATCCCTTTTACTGTCGTGAAAGCTAGAGATCTACAAGTACAATGGCAGACTGTTTTAATCATCAACTTCTTACAAACATCCAAACCACTGAAAATAACTTGAAGAATCTAATCAAAATTAAATAATGACCTGTATGAGAATCTTCCTGCCTAAAGAATCAGGTTCCTTTGATTCTCAATGTAATGAAAACAAGTTGATACAGAATGAAAGAAAATAGAATGAGAGGCAATGACTGAAGCAAAAATCTACCCACTTCCTGCAGACAGGCTCCTTGTATCAAGCCTAGCAGCCCAGACCATTCTGGTTCCAGGTGGCACAGGATCCCAATAGCAGCTTAACACCAAAACTGTGCTCCATCAATTACGAAGTCCTTCGCCAATGAATCTAAAACTTGCTAGGTATGCTTAGAAAAGGAGCATGACCAAAAAATCCAAGCGACAACTTCTCCCCTCAGAACTATTCCGTTAAAACTAAACCAGCTGCAAACAGTTACCTACTGATTAATTTCATTCATTTACTGGAAAAATAAGCACCAAAAATCAATTCTCCATAGATAAACCCCATAATTTTTATGACATCCTCCCATTTTTTTAATCTGTGTTAAGCTGGCAACTGTAACTGCATCATCAGTCTGCCCCGCGGTTTCACTAATGGTGCTTGGCCCTCTTCTTCATTTTTCTCAAGATGAAAGTCAGGCAAAGGAAGAGTGTAAAAGCAACAATAAGTTAAGGAAGTTTGTAAACTTTCCAGTTAAACTGGAAAAAAAATGGAAGAAAGAAGAGCATGTCAGAAGATGCATATACACAAGTGTTCAATATTTCATGAAAATTTGAACAATAATTAGCATTTTAATGACAGTATCTCATAATTGACATGAAAGCCAGTAACCTAAGCTCCAATATATCTTACTGGCATCTTTTGTGCTGCAATATAATTAGGCATTTCACTGTCTTTAGTACTGATCTCAAGTAAATTTTACAATTATGAAATCATTTGATACTCTGGTGAATATCCTTTAGAGAAATAGAATGAAGTGGACCTAGTGTCAGAATAAGTGAAAAAAAGCTGGGAAAATCCCTTTATCTGCATGTAACCCAGGAAAATGTAACTATTTACAATCTGTAACTATTCTGGAGCAACTCTCACCTGTGCGTCCTGCTCCTTGACTGCTAGATGTAGGAAATAAGGTGATTGTGCAGGACATACCTTAATGAATAAGTGCACAGCCAAATGAATGTGGCTTTTTTTTCATGGTTACTGAAGAAGTAACTAGATGGAAAAAAATGTTTCATAAAGCAGCCACCCCAAACCACATCCAGCTACATGAAGCAATAACAAAACCAAAAAATCTGGAAAGGTAGGAACAGTAAAAAGAAAGGAAAAGATCAAGTTGGACAAAGAAAAACAGAAGATTATTTAAAGACAACACAGTCGGCCTCAGGTTATATTGCTGAAATAAGGGCTATAGTATTGTCAGTTTTGAAATGAAATCAAATGGACTGTAGATAAGTTTTCTTCAAGGAAATTTTCTTTTGTCTTCTTCCCAAGTCTAAGCTGCAATGCTAAACTTTAGACCAGTTATATTAAGGTTGTTGTAAAGCCTGCCACAGAGAAGCAATACAGGGAATTATAATAAATTACTTCAGATATAACGATTAGTGTTAATAATTACTGTAGTCACCTCACAGAGGTGATGACAGGTAAGCACAGAAACATAACTAATTAAGGCTAGAAAGGTGCTTTGAAATCCTTGGATGAAGGACCTGAATTAAGAGCCAGGGCAGAGGAAATGCCGTGGCTTAAATGTAGCAATGCTGAAGTCCTGTGGAAGGCATTGGGATGAAAGGTGTAATGTTTTCCTGGCACCTGGTGGGGATAATGATAGACCAACATTTGGAAACTTATATGCACTTGTACTAATCATATTACTGTAAAGGAAGGACACAGCTGAGACTAAAAGTGCATTACGGCAGATGGCAATCGACATAATTTAGGGGTTTGAAGAGATTATTTCTGAAGGACTGTTCTTCAGGCCTGCCCTAAGAAGTTTAGGAAGAGAAGACTAACAAAGAAAACTCAAAAATACACAGACATATCTGTGAGGATCTAGTAATACCAGAGATTGTTACAGAAAGGATAATAATGAACTCGGGAATAAGCTGGCTGAAGTATTAATTATACTAAATGTAAATACAAGAGATCATGAAGGAACTATCAGTTCAGGATGGATTTTTATTGAGAATGTCATTTTATGATTAAAGCACTGTTTCAGAAACACAGTATCCCCAAATCAGGCAAGGTAAGAAGACTTTTCATGAGCACTGGAATATTACATTTAATTACATTTCTGAGAAAGGCTACGTAAAGACATGGGAATTTTGCTAGACTGTTTTACCACAGCTGCTACAGTTACATAACAGTGCATTCAAGTCCCTGCTACCTGAAAGCAAACATCGTTGTTAGCTATCATTTTCTAAAACATTCCTTTAGTCCATTTAGGGTTCCCTATACCAGAGGCAGACAGACTTTGATACAGAAGAAACTCAGGCTGGCAACCAAACAAAAGGATGCACAAATACTTTATGAAATAAATCTGGTGGCAGAGAGAAATGAGGCACTTAACCCCAGCCATGGAGTGACCATCTTTTCTTTCATGAACGGATTCCATCCCCTGCCATTCCCTGTTAGTCAGCTGGAATGGGGAAAGCTACTAAACCAGACAAAACACAAGATGCTCTTGCAATTGCAAAGGTTCGGTGAAAGAAAATAACAACCCCACACTCCTTCCCCCTTGCTCACTTTTTTCTTGAAAAGGAATAAACTGGTGTATAAAGATAGATTTTCCTTCCAGCAGTTCCATCCTTTTACATAGAAGCTAGATTTTTGTCTCCTGTGTTCATACTTAATGGATTGCTGTTTCTTCCCATCACTTCTACATGTTTAGGAAGGATGCAGCTGCCTTCCTCACTACCTTTTATATAGGTGGGTTTTGGTTTTAGTGGTTTTTTTTTTTGTTATTTGGGAGATGGACTTTGAAACAGCAGCACCCACCACTACTCATCTTCACAGTTTCCATTGTCCTAAATTGTGACTGTTACTCCTGCAGCAAAAACTAGGTAGACGAAGACATAAAACATACTACTACAGAATAAAAGAAATCCACTTGATCAGTCTACTGGGAATGCTCCCTAAGCATTTTGGTTTTGAAAATACTGCAAAGAGGGTAATAAAATCTAGCCGTTTATAATCCTAGATGTATTGGGAGATGCCAGCAAGTAGACTGGTGTTTTGTTTTGACTGGTAGCTAGATGCTCTTGCATCTGCCAATCTTCTCATTTCTCCATTTCTGGAGAATGCTTTCAAAAATTCTTCTTTATCACTTAGCTTCTTAATCATCTCAAAATAAATCTGCATTGTTTCTTGGTACATCTTTTGACTGACAGTAATTAATCACTGCATTCCTAAGTCTGTTATGAGTTACTATGGTGCTAGTTCACACACCTTCCTTTTTTAGTAGAACAATAGAAAGCAGTACTATAGACATAACTTGGTTGGTACTGCTATCTACATTTAAAGTAAGGCTTTTACTTGGTTTATAGTAAACCTCTCTTACCCTTATTTTTAGAAGCTTCTCACTTAGAAAGAGATGGTGTCTGGTTCCAGCTCAAATGTATGTGTTTCTACATGGCTGAAGGAATTCCCATAAAAAAAAGTCAGGTGATCAATCAGAAATGTTGATAATCAGTGAGTTAGAACTATCTCAACCAAATCCTTCCCTACTTCCCTTGTAATATTGGAAATTCTTATTACGCAGTCAGCAAAAAATTGTATTTAGACATTATGGCTTGCCTCACCTGACTTTAGGTGACTACAGCTCAGTCAGGTTCAAGTGACCTAGAAACCTTTTATAATTACTGAAGAAAAACATACTACTCTACAGTGCGATTTATCAGACTTTAATATTTGACAATTACTTTAGGAAGAGGTGATTTGTGTCCTAGAATTCTTCAGGTACATAGACTCTAAAGGATGATTAACCCTAATCTAATTATTAGGTGAGATAAGGATTCACAAAATGCATATAAGCACACACACACACACAAACTTTATCACAGTTCCCTTTAGGTAACAAAATTCTGAAATTTAAAACAATTTCAACCAATACCAAGTTTAAATGCATATTTCTACCCATTTTTTCCCACCTATTATGATTATACTTCAGAGAATTCGAATAAAGACATTATAAAGTTAAAAATTTAACTGCTTTGATTTGTAGAGGTTTGCTACCCTGTGCAGTTAGTGTCACTCTCTACAGCATTATTTACTTGATGCTCTTGGATTATGGAGTACTGAACTGCGTGACAAATAATATAAAAATATTCCTTAAATAAGAAACAGAAGCTAGAAGGTAATAATTATGTAACTGAATATAATACTAAATTATTTTACCCTTTCATAAAAAGCATTGTAAGTTAATGATAAATTTTTATTTGTAGTGCCAGAAATTTGTTTAAAGAATGGAAATTAAAAGGACAAGATGTAATAGTGGGTACTTACATGCCAAAGCCAAGGAATGTAGAACTTAGTGCTTCTTAACACTGATAGTTTACAAACAGATTCATATGTATACATAAACCGCATGCTATGTTTTATGATTAGGCAAACAACAAGTGTCTATACAAATACATGTAGTTTATCAAATAAATTCATGTTACTTTGATACTTAATTTTGCTCCTTCATTGTCTGACTTATTTTGATATTGATGACACAATGTAGGCTGCTATTGTTTCAAGTAGACACTATTTTGTATAAATACATAAATGGAAATGTCTTTGGTCACTATTAGTGATATTAATGAACATTACTCACTCTGCTGCTTGCCATGGACTTAGTGTATACATATATATTTTTAAATAAGTCTTACATCCAACATAACCCCCATACAACTTTCCATTCTCCAATTATAGTTTAGATACGTATATATTTTAATCTTAGAACATCCTGATCTGTTTCCTTTAACAAACAAAAAATACCATCTGTTGTGAGAATGCACATGAAAGCATAGTCAGATTTTAATTATACATCTCATGGCAAAATGCATTCAAGAATGGGTCTAGGGACGGACACATAAAATATTCCAAAACCAGACAGCAATGATTTCTTCTGCATGACTTGGTTTCTGTAAATGAAAATGTGTGAGCTTGGGATTTGTAAAATCTATGACTACCACTACTTTTTTCAAGTTATAAGGAAAAATATTTGCAATACAGTAAAATTTCACATGGTAGCAAACCAGTAATTGAATTTAATTAGATTTACACGTCAGTCAATGCTTCCACTCTGAAAAGAAATGTTTTCAGGAACTGAGTGTTCTAACTCAAACAAGTTCCTCAACAGGAATGACCTAAGGGCCAAGAAGATGAAAACATAATCACAGTAATATTAGGACAAATTTTAAAAGGCATATGTGACAAATAACACTAGAAAAGTGAGAAATAAAAATATAGAAAAGCTTAAATTCTCTAGATGAGTGACATCTCCCTTACTAATTACAACCTGTTTATTTTTTAATTATTGTTAAGAATTAAAGAAAATAATCTGTTTGATCTTTTATTATAATCATAACTTAGTTAAAAGACCTTTCAGTTTGTCTTACTTTCTCTTTGCTTCATATGGGCAACTCTACTTCAAATTTCACATAGTAGTACATTTCTTAAGATCTTAATTTAGAAGAGCTTTTCTTCAGTGATACCAATAAATCTCCCGGGTTTAATGTTTAACACGATTTTCTCGTTTTCCATTTCAAGAAAGCTGTATTTTTATACATTTAATGTATGTTTCCACACATTCATGTTCAACAATCCTGACATTTACACTAACGAAAGTCAAGAAAACACAATATAATGTATACCACATAAAAATGCAGAATCTAAATTTATATACAGAAATTTCTTTAAAGATCTACGTACGTTCTTGTCACATCTTGTTCAATCATTGCTCGAAGCTCTTTATCCTGGAAAAATTTATTCCAAAGACTCTGAAATAAGGAAAAATAATTGTATGAAATAGAGACTTCTACTAATACTTCAGGCTTATATACAACATCAGCAGAGTACTGTGCAAATATTAACCAATTAATCCTCAAAATTCCTGGTAGAGTGGTATATCCGTTTTGGCATATATGTCGGTGACCAGCCCAATGAATTTAAGAAAGTCAGTTTAGATCAGAAAGGAAAACATTCAAGTTCCTGGATCCTTGTTCTAGGCTCACTCCGTTTGCTCACTGGATGGTTGCAAGGAGTCTATGAAGAATATTTAGAAAGGCAGAGTAAATTACAATTTACCAGAACCAGCAGCTCAACTGAAAAAAAATCAATAGTACACTCATGGAAAAAGATCTGTATTATCGTACTGTACTACATTCCTCCTATGAATGTATGTGCTTTAAATGGAAGCTCCTACAATTTCCATACTCAGAAATTGTTTGGAATGAAGCTAGTTTGTCTTAGTGGAAGCATATGAAAATGACATAATTCTAATGGCACATATACACAGGGCAGATCGAGACTAGCCATTCTAAAAAAAGTTCTGATAGGGAAAACCAGGATATTTAAAGCTCACTGTCGACACAAAATAAATAAATAAAACAGTTCAAAGTAGGTTTAGTTTCTTCCGTATGTGTGCTTATGATGATTTCCATTCTGTTTCTTTGGTTTCCTTGCCTTGTTTATTAATATTTAGCAAAAGCTAACCTGAAAGAAGTCAGCAAATGTTGTTGTTTGCGTACTCCAGAAAAAAGTATTGCAAAGCCTATTCTTTATTGTAATGGGATGGTAGCTTGGGCATATTGACCAAAATATTGAACTGAATCAGACTTCTTAGCAGACTTCTAACGCAGGTTAGTTTTCAGACAGCAGCAGCACCAGTGAACGAAATACCGTACAAAAAGAGCTGATACAATACTTCCAGAATTTCTTGCTCCCCTGTAAACAATTCATTGCCATGGTGGTTTATGCTCCACAGAAAGAAAAGAGAAAGTAAATTAGTGTTATCTAGCAGAAGGAAGGTAAAATAACAAAAAGGAAGAAAATGTTAATTAGCTTCTATATTTGTGCTACAAAACTATGAAACCTCCCCCCAAACTTTAATTGTATTTATATCTTCGACAATGTCTTACATAAAACTAGTATCTTTTTAACTCACAGCTCTTTTCATGCAGCTAGATCACATTTCGAAACTTCCCTGTCCCTGCTCCCACCCCAATCCATCAGAGGCAAGTTAAAGGAAACAAAATTTGCATGTGAAGAGCAAGCAAAACCCAGGACACTGAAAGGGTAAAACATTAAGTCACTGCAGAGGCTCAAAGGCACTTTGCTCTCCATTCCTATGCCTGATTTGGCCTGTGGCTTTGTTTTATAGATGAATCCCCTGCCACATACTTTGACATGTCAACCCTTGTTTTCTACCTCTAAATGACATCATAGCCAGAAAGAAGGTTGAGCCATTGTGTATGATCCCAAACTAAAGCAGAAATACTCCGAATCTTTCGTATTTGACACAACTTTCTGTCTAGCTAGATGCAAGAATGGTTTGATGGCATGCACAGTCATACCTGCCGCAGAGCCACCAACATGCCTATCAACACTATGTCTCAACAAGAAAATCTTTCTCCTTCTACATTAAATATGAAGCAGAGCACCACACTACAAACCAAGTATGAGCTTCTCTTTGTGAACAAAATGGATGTATAAGTAGTATCACCAACGATATCTGTGACAGCTTTTCCAGGTGTAAATCTCTTAATGCAACCAAAGAAATTATTTTCATGGTATTAAGTTGCCCTAGAGTTTGATTTTTTTTAAAAAAAAAAAAAAAGGTAACATGATTAACAGAAAAGCTTTAAAATACTTAAAAGCTTTTCAGATATTAGAAAATGCAGTAGAAAAACAGCATAAACAAAAAACCCCCAACCAACGAACTAAAAAAAGTTAGCTAAAATTAAGCCCCCAAATCTATGTTAGCCCTACTCAAAGTGTCATGACTTTGAAAATACCAAGCTACTTGGAGATCCCACTAATTTCAGTGAGTTGGATGCTCTGCACTTAATGACAGTCAGGCCAAATACTTTTACCACATATTTAGTCTTTCTTTAATATCTGGATCTTTCAATTCGAAGCTGGCTGTTTTTTGATTAGAAAAGAAACTTATTTCATTCAATGATAAAGAAAAAGAATTAAAAACATTGGAAGAAATGCCTATCTTGCAGCCTGGTACTTTAAACATTAACTCAGCACATATGCAACTCAAGACAGAACAACTCCATTTTTGCTGGAGAAAAACTTCCAAGGCTGAACAATCCTCCAGAAGAGGGTTCTTCAGTATTTTTGTTAACAGCATTCCCTTCATATTGACTGTTTAAACACTCCTCCAACTAGAGCCATTTTACATATAAAATGAAAACATACAGCAGTAAAAAGGCACATCAGTTAAAGAAAACATGCTGTGAAACTGGATTTGCAGTCCAGCACTGATTTTCTTGTTCAACACAACCTCCTGAAAAATCAGAATATTAACCTGGAAATGAGCATTTCTGGTTGTTCAGCTGAGCCTGTGAACCAATTGTTAACACAAGTCAGTCTGGAAATTTAGGAGGGAGAATTTAGCACCTGCCATTTTGTTTTCCTCAGCAAGAACTCAACTTGTGTCAGACTGATGGCGATGATAATGTTAGTATCACCTGTGTTGATGGAAACAAGGGTCAACTCACCCCCTCATCCTGAGACAGTGGGTTGTTGATTATCAGATCTTGCTGTCCCGCTTTCCGAGGGTTTGTAATGTGCTGGGTTAAAAGAGAAAAAAAATCAAATCCTCTTCTGGTATACTATAAATACTAATGTCTAAGTCAAAGTATGAGAGTAGTGAACTTATTTTGTGCCAACTTACAATTTCTTTGATCTTATTGTAAGAAGTTCTTAAGTCTGAAGTGGTTTTAATCCATTGACTTCTGTCTTGGGGTAGAACCTCTAGAAATAACTATCAATAAACCAAAATAAATCCATTAAGTTTCATAAATTTAACAGGGCTTTTCATATAAACCCTACCAGACAGCATAAACCATCTCAGCAAGGAGAAGCAAGTGCTCTGCACATCAGTAGAAAGCAAAGACCTATGAGATACTCCTGGCTTTCGTATTTTCCAGTCAATAAATAAGAAGGTAGAAATAGTAGCAGTTCTACTGTACAAAATAAATCATTAAAGACAACTGAAGCCACAAACACAAGCTTTGTAAACTGTCACAACTTCAGAAGAGTTGATTCAGACTTCCAAGGCAGAAAGAAAATGCAAAGAGATGCAAACACATACAAAACTAGATGCTATTTACAGAACACTGATGACCTAATGCAACCTGCTTAAAATCAGGCATGAATGCAGAGCAGAAACTAAGCACTCAGAGATATACTCTACCTAAGAAATGTGGAAAGGGAAAATCTTTCTAAAAATGAAACATATTCTAGAATTCTGCAAGACAAAAGAGTCAATTTTGCAAGAAGTCTTTGAGAATACCTACATTTCAGTTCTTTCATATTTCTGCTTAAAAATGGTTAGAATCTATTGGGAAATAATATTTAATTGCATATACAATAAGGAAAAAACACAGAGAATTTTCCCGCTTTTAAAACATTTTTATTTACACATTAGAAAGTGTTAAGAAACAGTAAATACTGACCAAAAAAAAAAAAAATCATCCCTAAATTACTAAAAATATTTCAGAACTTAACAAAACCATAGAAAATATTTTCAGAACAGGCAGTCTAAACCAGAGCCCTAACCCATATCTGGACATGAAAATAAAACCAACCTTATTTCTAAAAACCATTCCTTGACTTTATTAGTGGACAGTGAAGGACTTGATACTTTTGTTAGTTCAGGGTTTTGAGTTATGGCCTCCTAATTTAGAGGCTCAAGAAGAAGCAGGCTGGTAAAATAACGCTTGTGGCATACATTCATCTGGCCTCCTGAAGAAAGTATATTCATTAACTTTAAATTTGCTCAATGCTACATACATTTCAAATTTCAAATTCCTTTCATTCATATACAAAGAGTATTTTCATTTTCTTTTTATAGGTCTTTATGCCAAAGTGAAGCTTAAGAAATTCCAAGTGAGGTAATTTGAATTATCAGTGCTAACATACAGTAACTCTACTAGGGAAAATGTTCTCTACTGTCATGGTTAGTGCACAAGAGAAGACCTGATGCCAGTGCAACAAAATTATTTTGGACTTTATATAGCATCAAAGTATTACTTTGCTTTCTTTCTCTCTTCCTTCTCCTGCAACTTTAAAAAATACAGTAAGAGACCTCTGAGGACCTGTTGTGTTTTAATACTGGAAGATCTGGCTTCCCTCTCTATCCAGTCTTCGTTTTCTCATTTCACTGGGAAAAGCTGCTAGCAGAAGCATCAGACTGATTTTAAAGGAGTCCCAAGTTCCACAGAACATAAATTTTGAGACAAACTTCATTTTTATTTCCAGTGTACAACTTCAATGCAGAGAGACTCAGAGGAGGTGGTGTGCGGCACTCAACCCTAAACACACCACCCAGCACAAGGATATTCCTTCCTAGGAATATTTTGTTATCACCTGCAATTCAGCTTTAAGGCAACTCAATATGATTAGAAAATGTCCGATGAATTATAAAAACGAGTAGGAAAACACTGGGATGAAGTCTCTCGGAAAATTCATGATTCTTTGCATCAATAATCTTCCAGCGCATCAGGTAATGTGTTGATATATTGCAACCACAAACTGTAAATAAATATTTTCTCTTCTTACCTTCCAGCAAACACTACGGAACCTGCTGCTTCTCAGCTGCCCATTAATCCCCTTCAGCCGTATAGTTGCCAAGTAATTGTTGTTTACAAATAGTTCTTCCCATTCTTTGCTGTGTGCAAAAGCAAAAGGAATGAACATTTAAACAAAAAACAAAAGCCTTAGCTGATTTAAGGACTATATGACATTACCCAATATTGGATAAGACAGGAAAGGAACTTTTTTTTAATGTATATATTTAGTTGTGTACCACTTCTAAACGCATGGCTGTCTTTTTGGACACATTTCTTCTTTGGATTTAATGAATATGTAGATCGCTATAATTATGCCAGCTACTGAAATTCATAATGTCTATGGAGGCTATTCCATTTCCTCTAAAATGTTGGTACTGCAGTTCAGTGAATAAACAAGAAAAATGAATATTAATATAAGCGCATTCATCTTTCAGCTGTAGACAAAGAAGTACCTATTCCAAAAATATGCAACAGAAAAGTATACTGTGACTGTATTAGCTCCTCACATGACGTATTTGCTTAAATGAACCTTCTTTTCTTCCTAATGTCAAGCTGGGCAGTTAAGCATCATAGAAGATGACTTTCTTCAACATTTAGTGCTATTTACTATTGAAATCGCTCCTACTTCTTTCTACATGATCAGTTTTAAAATTTTAACAGGTGCTAGCAAATTTAAAAAAACATCAAAAAATTAAAAAGCCTCACTGTATAAACTGTTAAAGGCAAGCTTGAGTACCTTGCAGTACCTATGGCTGACTAGATAAACAACCTAAATATGCCTCCCAGGCATGCAGGCACCAGGGGCCTAACACCTGTGCCTCATTAATATACAAGTAAATAGGCTCTACTGGGAAACAATTGGAAATTAATTGTCCCAAACCATCTACTGAGTTTGAATAAAAGAATTAAATCTCTATTTCCCACACCTTCTACTGAAACAAATCTCAAGAACAGTATAAGCCATTTGATGGTCTTAGTAGCCCAAGACTTGTGCACAGACTCTGCAACCCCTTTAAAATTCAAAGGGTAATTTCAGTGTAAAGAGCTGGGTTATGTGCAAGGAAATGTGTTTCAGATTTATTTCCAATCCCTGTCCTTAAGGTGAATATCTTCTTCTCCCAGTGTCACATGGGAGACTATTACTTCTCCCTGGGAGACCAAATGAAACCAGAAAGAAGGAAGCTGCTATTCTGACTCCAGGGTAAGAAAGATCTCACCAGATTTCCTTTGCTAAAGAGGGTCACAGAGTGGGCTATGCTAAACACCAACAAACTCTGGTTTTGCAAGCTGTCCTAAATATATGCAAGCTAAGGTTAGATAATTTTCAGCCTTTTAAACTGAGTGGTGAGGGTGAGTTTTTTTAAACCTTGTTTTAGGTCGAACTTGCACAGTTCCAGAACAGAATTATAAGATACAGTTGCTGGGAACAGTTGGGGTACAGACTTGGCAAGCCAGGAAATTATGGTGCTGCTCCTCTAAGATGGAGCAAGCTGAGCTCACGATCCACGCTGAGACCAGAAGTGTTGTGTTTGTGAATGCATCACCTTTCAGCTAGGATCGTTTTCAAACAACAGTAAAAAAGAGTGTTTACTTTTGGCTATTGATTGGTTAATTACTTGAAAAGCAAAGATACTGCTGATAAGAACAAAGATGACTAAAGCAGTGTTAGGTTGGAGGGCTAAGGGCTGCTTTTAGCTTCTGGCAACTGCCAGTATCCCCGAATGACCAACATGGCAGCAAGTAATTTCAACAGCGTGGGGCAGCTTCGTCTCTTCCTTCCAGCCACATCCCCTATTCTCCTAGTCAGAAAGACTCTCTGGCCATTCCACTGTCTCCCTATCTCCCATATATCCTCATCTCCTGCAGCAAGCTGCCTACAACTGTTTACCATGATTCTGTCTCCTTTAAATACAACGTATGGTATATAGCAGACACAGCTTGAGAAAAATCTGGACCTTTCTTTCACAGCCATTTATACTTCAGTAACTACAGTATATTATGCCTATCTAAATAACCCTCCTGTTTCTATCATGTATAATATTCTTCAGTTGCCATTGTAAATTTTGTAGCATCATTGGCCATTATAACTACTGCCAAGCTGCCTCCCTAAGGTAGCGATTCTTCAAGAGTGACACATTCCCCTGTGCACACAACAGGTCAGCCTCTGAAGCTATTCACATTGTTCTGCAAGCAGATGACATTCCCACAACGTCTTTGAAAATGCTGGTGTGTCAGCTGAGTTAGCAAAAGGTTCCAACCAGTGTAACTATGAACAGAAAGAACAGAGAGGAAAGAAACTCTTCAGGTTATTTTTTTTCACTAACTGCTGGGAGTGATTGCTACACAGTAAGAAAGTAATTTCAACACTTCTTAAATGGTATTAGTGCTGATACTGTGCTTTGTCTTCTTCTTCCCCCCTTTTTCTTTTTTAATTTGTAATGCAATTCCGAGCACGTTTTGAACAAAATTACATTTAAAACAGCCAAAAGAAATTTGGCAAGATCCTATCTCCCCTGCATCCCCCTTTGGCTGCTGTGATCACTAAAAAGAAAAGTTGTAAGTAACTGAAAAAAAAAAAAAAGAAAAGACTTGGAAACTGGAATCTGCTTCAGTTTTAGTAGAGCTGAATGATATCTAAAATCCTTTCTGAATAGCATTCACTAATTCATTTCTCAAATATTTTGAATGAAGGCTAATAAATTAAGCCTTACAGTTCTAGAGACTGATTCAATAATAGTAACACTGTGTAATATCAACAAGCTATCAATTCTAAAAGGATAATTTTTTTAATGATATAGCCCTACTCTGTAAACTAATATCTATAAGCTTTGTTAACCCAGGCTTGCAGAAAACTCATTGGTCAAAGTGAAATGAGCAATGAAGATTGGAACTCAAGTCTACCACATCCCATTTGCTTCACTGAAGTGAAAGGCTTCAAGAGCCAATTGGAACCACTTAAACTACGAATAAGCACATGCATTTGTTTTTAATCAAACTAGAAAATTAAATGCATAATCATGTGTTAATACCACCTCTAGCTTGTACAATTAAAACAAAGGCTAATGCCAATGTTAATGTTTTGTGGTTATTTTGTACATATTTTTCATCTCACATTCTTATTTAAATATTCTGTCTAATATACTGCCATATCTGTTGTAAAGTCTTCATAATATAAAACCTGCACAAAGAAAAAGTTATTGGATTAATGTTTCTTTTGGAAACTTACATTTCATATGCTGTAACCGTCCAATGTAAAGTACTTATTGGCATGAGTTAGGGACAGTTGCATTACTCTGAAGTGGGAAAAGTGCTCAATATGTATGAATGAAAAAGCAAGCAAATCAGTGGAAGGGATGAAGGTTACAGATTTGTTCTGAAAGGTTTGTTCTTAGCCCTCATCTGTTCCTTTCCATCTTTTGAAACATGCATTTTTGTCATAACTACAAGTTTGAATCTGTCTGCAAAAGAATTTTATACTGGGCTCTGCTCTAATACACAGTTACTTGCTCATAGAAATGAGCCTGATCTCCTAGCAAACCATATATAAGCATATTTATTATCCTTTTTCTTTCCAACAGGACATGTTTTGTAGATCTGATGCTTCTAAGACAATTACAAACATTAGATTTTCAGATATAAAAGTCAAAAGATTTGGAAGAGAAATGTCTCTGTCAACACACTGTTAGGAATAAAGCACAATGAGCAGGACTTTGAATCAGAAAGTGTAAGTAAAATTTTACATGCACTTGAATAACATTTTTTAAGAAGTATTTTAATCCGCAATGATGCTAGATGCTAAAGTATCTTAGTAAAAGACACTGGAATGCCACTACTGCCCAGCTACAGGCAAGCAGGCAACTATAAAGTCTTTAACAATGAGTGACACCAGTAATATAACACGAAACCTGGAAAATAATTCTGGAACTGAAACAGAAGTTCCAGAGTTCTATGAGGTAACGCTTAGCTGTGGTGTGTTGGGAAGAGGTAACAAAGGCTTTCTTCCACTAATAGCCAGTAGCGGAACATAAGCATCGAACTCTGCTGCTAAATTTCAGTTTGCAATATAATGGCAAAACCAATGCATCGAGCATAGGTATGCAGGCAGAAGAATACAACGGTAGCCACCTAAGCTCCTTACAAATAAGAAACTCTATTCTGAAGAAGAAATACAGTTGAGGAAGAGTGGCATAGCATGGACTGTGACTACCACTAGTTAACTTCTGCATTTACCAATAGGATAAAGCTCCTCATGTGTACCGGTGCAGATCCTTCTAAAGGTTAAAGCTAGTGTAAGAAGCATTTTTGTACTATGATGTTCAGACAACATCAAACTCTGTGCAAGACATTCAAACCCACAGAAATGTGAAAATGTGAATACCCACATCAAACTACAATCTATGTCACTGAAAAAGGGCAAAGATTCACTCCTGGGACTGTAAGGACTCAGACCTACCAGGTAAATATTACTGTTCATAAATACTTCACTTTCAGTTGAAACTGTGGGTTACAAAGAAACCAGTATTATCAAATCATTAAACAGTCTGTATCAGTAGTTTGTCTCACCCATTTTTAAAATATTCCAAGTATGCCAAGTTTTGAAATGCCTTTTTTTTCTGTCCATGCTGAAACAAGACCAATATAATATTTACAACATTTAGATAAAAGAATATTTCTCAGTTCATGGAAAAATACTGCAATACTACTGCAAGGTGTGAACACCTGCACACATATTTAAGATTTCAATCTAAATCTTAAGCTTATTCCACCCTCTAGACCAATATTCAAGGATAAAATGGATAGTCTCATAGAGAGCCAAAGAAAATTCTTGAGCAGTGCTGCTGGTATTGGCAAAATCATATTAAACCAAAATGGCGCGTGTGCATGCTCTCAGAAAAGCAAATTTCACTGTTTTATACCATTTTTGGTTCGAATATGCTTTTTAAAATGTTGAGACCCAAACTCGGCTCCCCAAAGGCACTCAGTGAAGCAACAGGCTACCGAACAGGCCATCAGAAAGAAAACAAATTCTTGAATTGTCATATGTTTTACAGGATGAGGTCTTTATTGCTAGGAACATCAGTAAGTGAATATAGTATCT